TGTCCCTGCCCATGGCAGGGGGGTTGGAACTAGATGGTCTTTAAGGTCCCTTCCAACCCAAACGATTCTATGATAAGCTGGTAACATGCTGCTGCCACCACTGCTGAACTTCCCTTCTACTTAGGGAAGTCTTGATCTATACCCAGATGTAAGTTGGAGTGGCTCTGCAGACTGCACCATGCCAAGTCCTTGGCGTTTGGGCAGACTGTCCACCAGCTCTCATGTCCATTAACCAGGTAACAAAGCAAGCAGAAGAGAAGGCAAGGGGACCCGAAAAGGCAACAGCAAAATGAAGAATGGAGCAGAAGGCTGGGTGTTTATTAAGGAGAGACAATAGGAACTCAGAATTTGAGAGTTGGTTATGTAGCATGTAAATGCCTTGGGAAGGCATCATGTTTTGTGGTTGATGTGTGCTCTGAGTGTGGTTGCGGGCTGTTCGGTGCCGCACCTCGCTCACCAGTTTGGTACCTTGTGTCACGGTGAATGCAGTCCGGTTTGCACATGCTAAAACGGCTCTTTTGTTTGACCCAAATGGCGTGTGTAGCATAGCTGAGAAGGAGATCCACTTCTGCGAGCTGGGCAGCTAATGAAGATGTGCCCACCTCTGAGTTTCCTGAGTGCTGGGACCTGACTCAGGCGTGGTACTCTGCTCTGCAGAAGCACACCGCGCTCAGAGCTGCAACCAGAATCAATTGCAGCTGTTCCAGTAAGTGCACAAAGTGATAAGTAACGCCAAGTTTTCTGTAAAAGCCACTCCTGAGTGTCTCAGGGCTCCTAAGAATAGTGGATTATTCTGATCTTGATCTTTGTTCTTCAGAAATACCTTTTTCCTCCTTATATGTTGGAGATTTTTTAAAAGGTGCTAGTGTTTTGTGCTTGAGAGCTGATGGGAATTTCTGAAATTTTAGTAATTCTTTTCTGTAATAGAGCTCTAGGTACTGTTCAGAAAGTCAAGTGTTGGGTTATTGAACATCAAGGATAAAGGACGATATTGAATGATTGCTTCTTAGGAAAGAAATTAGTAATTACTACCTGATGTGAAGCTGGAGTTTTATGTTAAAATAGTATACGCTGATGTAATCTAAGACTGTCGTACTGCATATACACAATAGAGAAAAGTTTGTCACAGGAAATCTTCATTTTAGCAATTCTTAATCTTTCAGTACTTTTCTTGGGCCTTTATTAATAGTCTTATAAGGAAGAATGTAGCTGAACCTAGACTTGTCTTTAGGGATCATTCTCTTAGCTGGAAGCTGAATCTGGAAAGTAGTACCAAATGTTTTACAAAAGTGTTAAAAAGGACTTAAATTACATTTTTCTGATTCTCTCTAGTCAGTGATTGCAGCTGTGATTTTTAACATTTGTTTAGTACCTGAGTGGAGTTGAAAATACTCATACATCTATATGCGAGTTTAGTGAAAAGCTCCAAAACTTAGGGAATATCTAATACCATGTAAAGCGTAGGTCCAGAAGAAAAATCTTGATGTTACTCAGCCCCAATCCTTCTGCCTCTTTTCTTTTTGTCTGATTACTGACCCCACACACACGAGCTGTATTTCCGGGGACCCTGCTGTCCCTCACCCCCATTCTCTGGGGTTGCAGAAAGGAAGAAGGTAGCAACTTCAGTGGGATTCACATCTATGAGGGACAGGGTTGGGAATTATTTCCCATATTTATTCCTGGCAAAGAATGAAGTGTTGTACCTCTTGTTTTGTTCTTCTACCCATGAGCCCATTCTCCTAGGCCCTCGGATATCTGCCTCTTACCCTTGCTCCATAAGTAGTTCACTTCCCAGTGCGCCTCAGCAGGGCTTACTAGTTTGTGCTTGGCTTCTTGCAACTCCTTGGCTGAACGTGAGTGTACGTCACTGACAGGGACCCGGTGGTTTAACCTGACCACCTGGTTTATTGCAGACCCCTCAGTAGCACTGGCCACCATCTACTGGGCCCAGGGACTTGGATGTAGGTTGTAAATTTTGTAGCCCAGCAACAAGGCTACGTAAGATGGACACGGGTTTCTGCCTCATTGCAAATGCAGAACGGAAATGACGTTTTACGTTTAACTTCCGCATCCACCAATAACAGAGCAGTGGCTGATTTGGAGCCTTCCTGATAGACTGATTTATATATATATTTTTAAGATGTTTAACGTCTTTAATCCTGTTAGCTGGTTTTGTTTCATTGAATTGTTTAACTTCTGCTCTAGATGAACCTGCCTTGGCAGGGGGATTGGGCTAGATGATCACCAGAGGTCCCTTCCAACCCTGACCGTTCTGTGTTCTGTGTGATTCTGTAACCTCTCTTGTAAATTCTGTCAAATCGTAGCGTATTGGCTAACATTTCTCCCTTTTCCCCATGTGCATGTGTATGTATAGAGAATTTACATCATTTTTATACATTGCAGCTTTTCATGCACCATTAGGATGTCCTTAATTCCCAGCTTCTGTGAATACTTCTCACGTCGCGTTTCTGATCATGTTCAGGTTCACTGACTGTTGCTTTAAGCTTTGTTAAATTGGCCACAGCAAAGCTTCAGCTCTTCCTAAAGCTCTTTAGTCACATACTCTGTTTGCACAAAGTAAAACAATCAGAACAACCTACGCAGTCACTGATTTTTAGCTTGGTACATTATGCCACTTCATTTTGTTACACTTACTGTGTTAACAGTTGCCACCTATTATTTTAGAAGCTTTATGGAAGGTTTAGGTGAGTTGACCAACAAACGTTGCCCTGGGGGAGTAACACGGGATAACAATTCTTCATCTGGTCAGAGACTGAAGGAACATTTCACCCTGTTCTTTGTTAGTGCTTGCTATATGATAACAATAATGATTTCCACTAATGCTCTGGCTTTCATTTTAGTAGTCAAAGTCCTGTGAGTTGTCTTGTTACTCTGTAGTCTGTAATGTTGTCCTTGATCTCCCACCCACTCTTCCTGCTCTCTCTGTACCAAACAGTTCAAACCTCTAATCTTTTCATGTTCCAGTAAGGTGTAATGCTACCTTTCACTCATACCGACTGCATTGCTTCTCTGGTGAAAAGAATAAAGACAGACGGAGATGTACGAAGAGCAGTGTAATCTGTCGGGTGTATGAGGCAGTTTGGCATTAGTGAGGCGTTAGATGGGATGTTACATGCAGTTCTGGGCAAAGCACTAAAGGTAATGAAACAGTAGGAGATCCAAAGAACAGGGAGAATGATCAGAGGTTTAGAGAAGCGAGGGGAGACATGAATGCTAAGTCATCAAAATACGTAAGAAACAAGTACAGAAAGGAAGGGGAGATCTAATGTTCAGCTCTGTTGTGGCTAGGACAGGTCGGCTTAGCTAGTAGGAAGAGAGATGCTCTCTGGAAATTAGGAGAAAATTTTCAACTCTTAAGGTAGCTGAACATAGGAAGAGATCACCCTGCAGCAGACCTGCTAGTCCTGGAGCACAGTAGGTCCTCCAAAAACCTACACTAATTTCCTTCACTAACCCCAGCTGCCTTCTGCAGCCCAGAAGGAGGGATTAAGATTGTCTGAGAGGGCACTTTAACCACCCCAGATGCTTCCCAAAACTCCAGAGACTTCCAGAAGTGCTAGAATTGTACTGAGGGGGTTGTGGTGAGTGTAGTTTGTGACCACCTCAAGATTATAGTGGAGTTCCTCTTTGCATTGTGTCCTCTTAGCATATAAGGGCCTAGTGACATTATTTCCAAGACATTGAGGTGGTTCTTGTTTGATTTTCCTACCTTCTGTTTGTCTGTTACCAGTAAGTGGTTTCCTCTGCTTCATTCTTGAAGTTGACCCATTCAGGCTTTTGGTTCAATAGATTATAGCAATTTAGAAGCAGCAGTTGTGAAGATAGCATTTTCATTCTGATACTCTGGTAATAGATTTCCAAAACCAATTATTCTCAAAATAGTTATTTATTACAGTCATACCATAAAACTAGTAATTTCATATAATGTGTTTTCTGCTCTTCTATGAAATGATTGGAAATAGTAGGCAGGAGTAACATAAAAACTACAGTAGCACACAAGCAGCATGACTAAAAACCCACAGATTCCTAGACGAGAGGGTGGTGAGGCACTGGAACAGGTTGCCCAGAGAAGCTGTGGATGCCCCATCCCTGGAAGTGTTCAAGGCCAGGCTGGATGAGGCTTTGAGCAACCTGGTCTAGTGGAAGGTGTCCCTGCCCATGGCAGGGGGGTTGGAACTAGATGGTCTTTAAGGTCCCTTCCAACCCAAACCATTCTGTGATTCTATATGTTCTAACATTCTGGTTGTTAACAGAGTGCTAGATTAGAGCCTCAGGTAGCTGTATTCCTATTAATATCCTGATCAAAACCAATTTGCTGGCGTAGTAACCAAATAGGTTGTAATCTAATGGGAGAGTTTACTTGTCACAGTCATAATTAAATGCCCAAAGCAGTGTTTCTTTAATGTGCCTGCTACATTAATGTCAGTCATTTTGGAGAAACTCCTGAGCTCCTATTTAGTTCATATGAAAACCCAGTCAGCAAGAAAGGATTAAGAAGAATCATAGTACCAGTCACGTCAGAAAGTCTGAAACATTTAATCAAGTGACTGATTCACGATTTATGTTTGCCACCTCTTGTGCTTCATGAATGATACAGTCATTTTTACGTAGCCCACTAGGTGGCATTTGTTACTTAGAAGTAAGTTTGCACTCAGCCCTGAGTCCTGGGATTGCAGTTTTCTCATGACTTGTTTGCACTCGGCCCAGAATCCTGGGATTGCAGTTTTCTCATGACATTTCTTAGATTTCCAGCTTGATTTTACCCGTTAAAACTAATTAGTAGCTATTAGATCAGTATAAATACTCTGATATGGTAATGCTGTATGATTTTCTTCTCTTTTATGTGGTCCTGCGTGGCAAAGCAGCATTTATATACCATAGAATTTAAATGGCAGAGGTCTCAAAGTTGTATTTCCACAGGTATCGGACATTCAGGCGAGAACAGCACTGCTGATGTGGTCCCCTCCATCCAGTGATACCAGAGAAGACACTGACAAGAGTGACGTACCGGATGTTTATACCTATGAAGTCATGATTTCAAATTCCGGAAAAGATGGAAAGTACAAAACCGTATACATGTAGGTTGTTCATTATTCTCATTTAATTGCTGTTGCGTTGAATTATGTGGCTTAACACCTCATTAAAAAAATCTACCTGTTGTCCAGAGATTTAAGTAATTTACCTCATTTAAAAAATCTGCCTGTTGTCCAGAGATTTAAGTAATTAGCAGTTTTGTGCAACTTCTCTTTCGAAACGGACGACTTTGGGTTTTTTCCAGTAAAATTGGTTCTGGTTTATTACTGAAGCCTCTACCATCAATTAGAATTTAAAGACTTTGTTCTTAGATGTTGGAAACACATTTTAATATCACTTCAGCACATGCTTCTGCTCCCAGTAAGGTTATCCCTCCCTACCCTGAAAATACTCGTTCATAAGAGGCAAAACAACAGGAATCAAATGCAATTGGTAAAGGCAAAACAACAGGAATCAAATGCAAGAAGGCCCTAAAATTCAAAGATAAATTTCATTTTACTATATTTAGCAACAGAAACAAACTGTTAGCAAATATACTTCTTAGAAGGAGTGTTAGGTGGATGGGTTAGATGATGTGTGTCATTTTGTAAATGTGTGGGATTCTGAAACAGTCTCTTAAACCAAATCATATCTCTTTGCAGTGGAGAAGAAAACAAAGTTACTGTAAATGATCTCAGGCCAGCAACTGATTACCATGCAAAGTGAGTATCTCCTCCTCTGTTCATTACATTCTGTGGAAGTGTTTTAAAAGCTTAATTGGATCTGGGTATTTGCATAGGTCTTTAGAGATTCTTTACTAAATCTCACCCTCCTCTGAGTCACAAATCAACATTTTTGCCTTAGGTGACCACACAGCCCATTTTGGAACACAGAAAATCTTTGCGCCCTCACCCAGGATCCGTGCTCTTTACGTCCTGTGTCATGCCGCTGCAGTGACATTTTTCTGTCCTTTGAGCCAGGCACAGATCTGCTTGTTTTCTGTTTCCCAGAAGCAGCAGATTGCTTGCACAGGGATTGCTTGCACTCACTGCTGGCCACCTGAAGGTCAGGTTATGCTGCTTTAGTTTTGCTCCAGCAGAGCCGTGAATCCGACCCCGTAGGCATTACCGAATAAGCCCACACCTCAGTGTAGTTCCACCCTTCTAGCAGAATTTCCTGCTTCGCGATGTCCTGCTGACGAAATGGCGTAGGATTGGAAAGATGATGTTAGGTCTTCTTCTTCCTTCCTTTTTTTACCTATTGGAGAGTCGTCTTGTCCCTTGGTTTACAAAAAGCAGCGTGAATACAGCAGTTCATCAATACGTAGCATCGGGAAGGCAGAAGCGGGGACTGCCTTAAGAGTACTGCCTTGTCAAGAAGCAACTGCAAGTGGAGAGCACGACTGTAAAAGTGACTGAACATGCAGGATGTGAGGGATTTGACTCTTGACTGTGTAAAGAAGGCCAAGACTCCTGGGTACTGACCAGGGAAGCAATTTAGAGGCAGTTGATAGGAAGCACAAGGAACAGAAGTGTGTCCGAGTAAGGATCCCTGTCAGAAATGTTGTGCCTCTTTCCACATGAGCTTTAGAACATCAGCAGCAGGGAGCAGGAGGATTCCTGTTGTTTCGTTTGATTAGCTTTTGCTCAGATGGGAGAGCTACATTCCTGGTCCTCGGTGTGAGGGGGTCTGTATCTCCTAATGCAGTTTTCCAGGATATTGTCCTGGTTGCCAAACCGGGAGCAAGAGAGGATTGGTCTGTTCCTCATCAGACTCCTCATTTAATTTGGGTCACTGTATGGCCTGCAGCACAGGTTCAGGAGAAGGATGAGTGCTAAATTGACTCAAAGCTCTTCATATGCAAGTGTTTGCCCCCGTGATTTTGTTCCTATTTTTGGCATGCACTTTACCCAGCAATGTTTAAGTTGAATATGCACAGAGCATAAGGGTCAGAGCCTACGATTTTGTATTTTCCTATATAAATCCTTTTTTTATCAGGCTACAATCAGAATCTGTCTTGCTTAATTTTGGTCGTTATGGAGAATGCATGGGAATAGAGGACGTAGCCATCTGAGCTATTCCTGAGCAAGGAGTTAAACAGAATTCTGCCAGCATGAACACTGCCCTAAATCAGCGGAGGCCAGAAAGACTGAACTATGAAGAGTTGGCAAATCACACATTTGCAGCTGTATACAAGCATAAAAAACTTTGTGTGCAACATTAGTCACTGTTCAAACGTCTCTGTTCGTGGCATCTACGAAGCCGAATTTCCCGTGACTTGCCGTTCGTGCAACAGGAACATGAAAGTGCTTTTGCATCTTCATAAGCAGGCAACACAGGTCTCATAACAGTGATCAGAGGACAGGTTTTTAGGGTGATTTGTTTTTCTTTCAAAAGAACGGGTGAATCAGAAGGAAGTGATGTGTGTGTTCACCCGAGGAGGAGACAAGGCGTAGCTACATGGCAGAGGGGGTGGGGGAGAGAGCACGGAGGGAGGCCAGATAATATATTTCATTTTGGAGAAAAGCTATTAGAAAATCAAACCATTTCTCTTTGAGACAGAAGCAAGCGTTCACTCTTGTGAAGTAGATGGAGAGTTATTTCATAGCCTTGCTAAAGGAAAGGGCAGGGTGAACAGGCTCAGGCAGGTCTTGAAGAAGTGCAGAAGGTGCGGAAAACATAGCAGCAGCTTGATTGTGCTCATCTGACAAAAGCACTTGCAGAAGGAGGATTATTCATAATATGAATTATGGTGTCTACGACAGATAATGAGCCTGCAAGATGCTACCGTTACTGCCCAACCGAAGCACCTCAAATGACAGAAAGACTTCCGACGTAATTGTGAGGTTAAAGCTAACTGGTGGTAATGAGGTACATCCAATGGAAAGGACTCTTTTCTCTTGCATCGCTTTTCTCGACCAAGATGCTTCCACCAGTTATTTATTTATAACAGTGATATTTTAATAATGAGGCAGCAATGCAGTAACTTATTTCTGAATATTCAGTTTTCTTTGGAAACTGTATATAGAGATTTTGAAGCAAAATGTTATTGGCTCTTTTCCACTTCAGAGTCCAAGCAGAATGCAACTGTGTAAAGGGAAATCCTTCAGAAGCAGAGAGTTTTACCACAACGAGTTGCGAACCTGATACTCCAAATCTGCCCAGGATAACGAATCGGACCAAAAATTCTCTTACTCTGCAGTGGAAGGTAGGAATTGTTTAAAAACCTTTAAAACAGGTATTTTAAACTCTTCGGAATCGGTTTGGATTTGCCAGTAAAAAGCCAGTTCATTGAAATGGAAAATTTTTGTCAAACGTACTCATTTCAGTCACAGTTCCGTGACTGGAAATACATGTACTAGGTTAAACGTGGACTTCAGTAAAAAGACAATTCCCAGAAAAGCAAGGAGCTTTTGTTGGTAAAGCTGCTGAGTTGGAGTGAGAGACAGTGGTTCAAGTTCCAGCCCACTCCTGCGCTGTGGCACCAGTTCCTTTCTCTGCTGTTGAACACAGGCTTGTTTGTGCAAAGCAAATGAAGTGGTCCAGAGAGACCAAGATTTGAGGAGGACTGCAGTCTAAATCAGTGTACACTGCTGCCAGAATACCTTTTCAAGGCCTAAATTATAAAACAAAACATGATAGAGGCATCGATTGGATGGAGACTGGAACAAGACTATTTCAGCAAGTGAAAAATCCTATAAGGGGAGCATCATTTGCCCTCCACTGGTCTTGTCTGGTGTATATTTGACCTATACAAGCGTTTTTTCCTTAAGTCATCTTGTATCCAGTTTGAGCTCTAATTTTCTTCTTTTCCTCTTGCAGGCATCTTGTGATAATGGTTCTAAAATCCACAGTTACCTTTTAGAATGGGATGAAGTAAGCAAGTTATTCTATTTTAATTTTAATTTTGTAGTTTTTTGAAAGGTATGTGACTGTGCACATCAGGTTGTGTGAAAATTATGACTTCTCTCTAGAGGCATGTGACAAGTATGTAATTCCAGAAGCAATTATGAAAATACGGTTATTGCTCAGATTTTTTCACTTGAGTATAAAATAATAGGATCTTAGTTACATGTTTCTGCCACTCTTAATAGTGGCTTTTTCACTTGGAGTCCAATAATTATTTTAAGAGCTGACACTGAAGGATCGTTTTCCTGTAACAGTCTTTTGTACAAAGAGGGTGGATCTGCAGTGCCCCCACAAGCATCTTCCAGTCCCTATCTGAACAGCTACCCTGAGAGAGCAGAGCTGCAGAAGCTTCATGGGTATTCCCCTCCAACCCTGTGGAGCTGAGAAATGGAAAGGAAGGAAAAAAGCCTCTAATACAATATATATACAAAGTTTCATATGCTGCTCACTGTTTGGGACATTGTTGAGTTTTTCATTAAAAAAAAAAAAAGAGTTTACTTCACATCTGTGTGTTAATCTAATAGATGGATGCATATATAATAGGGTGAATAATGTGATTAACTCATTCCTTTTTAGGGAAAAGGAAATGGAGAGTTTTGCCAGTGTTATTATGGCCAACAGAAGCAGTACAGGATTACGAAACTATCACCAGCAATGGGTTACACCTTTAGGCTAGCAGCCAAAAATGACATGGGAATGAGGTAAAAAATACTGTTGTGTACATAAATGTGGAATGCGTATGCATGCGTGTGCTTGTTTAGAAAAAAACATATGATGGCGTTTAAAGAAATAAGCCTTTTGTCCACATGGGATGAAATAGAACATGGAATAGTTGAAGGATGTGGAATAGTTGAAGGATATGGAATAGTTGAGGTGGAAGTGACCTCCAATGATCATCTATTCCAACTGCATATAGTTGATTTACGGTATGTGATTGGATTATTTGGGTGGCAGATTACCTGTGTACTATGAACCACTTCACCCTGCTTGAGCAGGGGAGGTTGGACAAGACGACATCCGGACATCAGTTCCAACCGCAGCTATTTTGTAATTCCCAGCATAATGGGGTTTACTCCAGGCATGGGATGGCTACGCGCTACACACCGTATAAACGCTACAAACCTCGGCCCCTCTTAGAAGCAGATAGTACAGCTCCTTCTGTACTATCCTATACCGGGAACAGGTTGCCCAGAGAAGTTAAGGATGTTCTATCCCTGGAAGTGTTCAAGGCCAGGCTGGATGAGGCTTTGAGCAACCTGGTCTAGTGGAAGGTGTCCCTGCCCATGGCAGGGGGGTTGGAACTATTTGGTCTTTAAGGTCCCTTCCAACCCAAACCATTCTGTGATTCTGTGATTCTGCCAGATGTAGCCTCATTTCCTCGGACATTTGTACATGACGCCCCTAAAATGGGGAGCACAGACAAACGTGGCTGCTCTCACAGGAGAAAATCAGCCCAGGCTGTGCTGGATTTTAGCTTCAGTCTTTGTAGACCTACACTGACCACTGAAGTTGCTACCTTGGACGTGTTTCCTACTGCAAGTAGTTGTAATAGAATTCTTGGCTAAGCACCGCCTTGTAGAGACTCACACATTCAGTCCAATTGTGGCTTTTGCATCCGATGCAATAAACACTTCTACTGAAATTCTGGGGGTCGTGCTGAAAGACGAGTGACTCAACCAACGGCCAGAACTGAACAGGTTAAATGCTGCCGTGCTGACCAGAGGGAACGTCCTACCACACTCTGCTGCTTGTGGTTCCAGCGGGGGTTTGCCATGATGCTAAATCTAAGGTAGTTCCTGAGGCTGGTGGAGCAATTTTCCAGGGCTTATCAGCCTTTCTTAAATGTAGAGTTTCGGTGGTGGTGGTATGAAGAGGTGTCCATAACTCTGCTGGAGCAGGAAGTTAAGAATGGCAGAACCCCCGCTGCCACATGTAGGTGTATCTGTCCTGTGTGCTTTGCCACATCCCGTTACTCAGATGTAACTCTCTCTGAGGTGTCTGTTAGTCTCCTGTTGCCCTGAGAAATGGGCAGAATGCGACATTACCATACCAATGAATTTTGTTGAAGTTCTAGAGCTTATTATGAATGCTCAGGATATGGGTTCTTACTTTTAATGGCTACTTTTCAGAAGTTGTAGAGCACTAAGCTTTGGTTTGAATTTTTGAATGAGTAACATCTGACTTCAGTAGAAAATATAACTAAGAACTGGAAAAAAAACCCCAAACTCACTGTTTTCTCAAATTATGCTTGCGCTACTGTGTCTGTTAGTTCTTGGGAATGCTTCTTGGTTTTCAGGCAAAGCGAGTAGCCCTGGCTAACAGTCAGACTACCAGGGCTCACCGTCTCTAGAGCAGACCACCAGTGTCCGCACCACCTAGCAGCACTCAGACCTTGAAGTCCTACATGGCATAAAAACAGGGCTTCTCTAGCCATCAGCCTAAAATTGCCATTTTCAATTTTTTTTTTTTTTTTTAATTCAGTGTTTGAAACACGATGAGCATTGTGCTGCAGCTCACCGGAGCGGTGTTTTTATAGCATGAAATAGCTAACCCTAACCCTAATGGGTGTGTCCTTCAGCTGAACTTCGGGGAACAGTGCTTGCTTGGACAGTGCTGAAGGACACCGTAAAGAACAGGGCGCCAGACCTGGGCTTGTAACTCATGCTGGGCAGAAGAAATCTTCTGCAGGCTAAGAAGTATCCTGGGCTGTATCAGAAGCGTGGCCAGCAGGTTGAGGGAGAGGATTCTCCCCCTCTGCTCTGGTCTTGTGAGACCCCACCTGCCGTGCTGCGTCCAGCTGTGGA